CCACATAGGTACATACAGCCTTCACTGAAGGCAATTTTAGGGAAGTTACATTAAAGAATACTCTACAGGCTTCACATACACCATGCATCTTTCACTTTGGGCTACACTAAAAAAAGCTTGTAATAGAGACAGACTTGAATCTTTTTTAAAAATAAGAGCTGTGACCAACAGGCAGACAGGAAATAAAAGCAGAGAATGATCAACATGAAAACTAAAGCACACTGCTATCTGACAGCAGTGGAGGTGGTGTAAGAGAATTTAACCCAAAGCATGGTTTCTTTTCCACCTCTCATTCCCCTTCACACCACTACTTACATTTTCACCCAAGTTTACTCTTCTGGCCTTGAGTTTTCAAGCAGCAATACTTTTGAGGGAGTACACAGATAATCCAAAAAGGGACTACAGTGTTCATGCAAATAGCATGTCTGCCTTGTGCTATGAAGATTTTGATTAAAAAAAAAAAAAAAATTTCCCCCAAAACACACACACACAAAAGAAACAAAAAACCCCAAACAAAAGCCCAAACAAAAAAGCCAAACACAAAACCAAACCAGAGCCCTCAGCTCTCCTGCTTTTTTTGCACATAGGACTAAGACTTATGAACATCCCCAGCTCCACTTGCATTAATCTGACAAGCTTTCTATGAGCACCCAGCATTTCAGAAATTACTATGATCTCTTTTAGAGTACAAATAATACTCTTTTTAACTTCTGCAGGCTTTAAGCATCATTACACAAAATTACGGACTGCTTCGCAGAAAATTACCAAGTTATTAAAAATACATACTTGCATTACTCCTCACTTCAGGAATGCCTAGGCTGTATAATCCAGCCTGGTACAAATACCTCATCTAGGAAACCATGGATGTAGAAGAGGTACAGCAACCTGTCTGAAATAAGAAACTCCTGGAGAAGCTGAAGGACCCCACCAGCGACAGGAAAATTTTTGTGAGTCAGGTGCTCAAACACTCATTACAGCAAATAGAGCAAGCTCATCATCTTAATGTGATAGATGTCCAAGGCACAGAGGGGACACTAAAGCCATGTGAAAGGAAATGCGTGCAAGAGGTGTTTGGTAGCCTTGTCTCTCTCAGACTACCTGCAGGGCAAGTGTGGTGCTTAATTTCACAACGTTAATCTGCTCAATTACTATGCTGTCTAAACCACTATTTAAAGGATGATAGATGACTGGATTATTCCTCAGCTGAAGGAGAGAAATGAGAAACTATGTGCCCATTTTCTGTATCACACCCTAACAATCATTAAGCATTCTCAGCTGCCAGAATTCAAACCTACCCCTTCATCCCAAGAGCATATGCTATTCCCCATGGTCTATGACACAGCTTCTTAGCTTTCATTATGTCTTTCAGGCCAGTTTTATTTGAAATCTCTCTTCTCTGCATTCAGTATGATCATGGAGCATTAGAAATTGTTAAAAAATACACATCGAGCTCCTCAGACAGTAAAACTTCAGAGTCTTATTTTGCACATAGCAAACGATACAAAGTAGAAAACAGATAATATCAATGCTCAGTTTACCTACAAATGTTTGGTGTTTTGGGCAGCGAAAGCAAATGTTCCAAAATAACATCTTACTGGAGGACTTAGAGGGGTGCATGCGTCCTTGAGGCACCTCTTGACTCTCAGTGCTGAAATGGCTGAGGTCCATTGCTCTCTGACAAGCTTCCAACACTCCTCTTTTCCTATTACCAAGGGAAGGCAGGGAAAAAAAAGAAGCAAGCATTTTCTATTTTATGATATAAATGCCTATCACTCAGAACAGTTGTGGAAGTCCAGAATGTTGTGTGACTCAACACCAAACAAGTTTAATCTACCAGGCTGCTCAGTTTCCTTTGCCAGCAGATACATTATTTTCTGAAGAAGTAGTTTTCTCCATTCAGTAACACTTCTCCTGTCCAGCATTACCTAAAAGCACACCTACAGTGCTTACTGAAGTTACCTACACCATCTGAAGGAGAAACTGAAAGGTCAGATACAGAGACAAATACCTTGCCAAAGTCCTTTTAGTGTATTCATTAAAATACAGGAAGTCTGGGCTTTGTCCAAGTAAAGCATCCCTCTACTAACAATTTTCTTTATGGTAAGAGTTACTCAGGCCACCATCTCTCAGAGAATAGCTAACCTAAATTAAAAATGCTTTGCACTGTATCATAGTTCAACTCTATTTGGTCTGCCCAAGTCTTTTGAACCCCAGAGTATGCTCAAGAGGACTTTGAGGTCTTAGGTAGGTGTCCTATTGAGTTGTGAAATGGACCCTGATCACACTAAGTTACAGAGTTGGGAGGTTTATTTTCCAAGTTTACCCTACTTCTGGTACTGTCCATATTCTGCAGAACATACCAGCAGCCAGCTGAAAAGCAATACACGTCAAACAAAACAAGAAGTGAGAAGTGACTTTTCCTAAACATAATACTGCTTTAAAGAGAAGAATTGTATTTGAAATCAAGGCAAAGCTTAGGGTTGCATTTCTCCAGAATCCATAAACCTGATGAAACTCTGGATTTCTCAATACTCTCCATAGCAATTTGTATTTGGCAGCTGCATCCTTTTCCCTATTCCCCCAGGTCTAAAACCCCCATGAAAGCTAGGTGTTTCATACATTGGGGTGCATTCTTCTCCTCAGTGTTTCCACCTTGGAACTTAAGACATACCAACATTGGTAAAAGATACTGTCTCACTGTATTTCTTATTTCTCAGCTTTACTTTGAAATTTTATTTTGCTATAGAAAAAAATAAAAACTCTCAAAAGCTGTTCCTAGTGTGACTGGCTTTCGAGAGAGTTTCACAGACAGGCTTTTCTCTTCCACGAAGAACACAGCATATGAAGAACCAAACCATTACACTAGCTGCACTTGTCATTTCAAGGAGGAAAATACAATAAAGTAATCAACAGAAGTCTGAAAAGGGTTGGGGTCTTTTTTCCCACCAGGCTATATGTTAGCAACAAGAGCCTTAAAACTTTTTTGTCCGTTTATTTGTTTTGTCCCCTAAACACAGTTACATGAGATTTCAACACAGCATATGCATGCACCCAAGCACTACATCCATTAAAACCATGTGGCATTACTAGACACTTTTTCTGTATCAAAATGACTAGTGTTTGTCTTCGTTTTGAACTTCCATGGAAATAAAGATTGTTATCATGTAAAACCGGAGAACATATATCCATTATTTTCAATTTCTTACAGCCCATCAGGTGCCAAGTAGTATTTTGCCACCATGATAGTTCTGCAATACCCCAGCCTTGCTTTGGCCAGACAAACATGATATTAACCTGTAGGAAATTGTGTCAGAAATACCAGCAAGAATGGAGGCAACAGCTTAGTTTAAAAAAATACATAAAGTATTTTACAGACCTTAAATCTCATGAGAATGGAAACATTTAAATTGTATCACTGAAGCAGTTGTTAAATAAATAAATGAATAAACAAACAAACAAAAAAATAATAACCCAACCCACATAATTCCCCTTAGATGCTTGGGACTCTAAAATTGTAAAAAGAACTGAAATTATTCAAAGTAATATTACAGTGCCAATTATGAACTTCAAAAATATCTAAAATATATCCACTTTTAATAACCAGAAAACTGACAAAAGTGTTTATTTATAAGAGCACACGATGCAATCCCTGATAATAAACAATTCATAAGAACAGAAAGGGGCATTACCACTTTAAAAAAAAAATATCTTTTTTCCATATCTCAACTTAATGAATTGTGAAAGAATTTCTATTTTGCTCTTCCCTACATTAACAAACAAACCAACCACAATGTATTTCATCAAAGTATTCTACTCTGAAAAAAACCCAAATAAATCCCTAAGTCCAAAAAAGTGGGTTTACTTTCTCTGTGATGTCTGTCACTTGTGTTTTCCTTAGATGATGTCTGGAGTTCTTCTTGTTTGTTATTTTTTTTTTAATTATGTAAGATTATATAACCTTTTAAGTTCTTAATTATAGTCTAAGAAAATACCAGGATGTATGTAATCCCCTGGAATTACTGTGTGACATGATACCCTGCTTTATTAGTACAACATAAGAGTAACCCAAGGTGCAGTGGGATCACAAGGCACCATTTGTTTTCATAATAAGATTTGGAATATGGCAACAAAGTAAAATTTGATTCTGATCTGAAAATTTTCAGGGAATTAATGAAATCTGCCCTGATACTAAGAAAAAAAAATAAATATACCACCTTCCCTTCCCTCCCCCCAACCCTGCCACAGCTGTCATCTCTTTTAACTGGTAAACTTCAGCGAGGAAGCTGACCCGCAGTTACAGCAGTGCTGCCTTATTCAACTGAGAGGGGGACTCAGCCTTCCAGATGTGGATGAGAGGACCCTAAAGCACAGCCACTGCCTGCCCCTCCCGGGAGCATCTCCTAGCCCGAGGCGTATTTGCCTGTATGCAGAGCATAGCGGCTCGGTTCCACGCCTCGCAGCAACAGTTCATTTTAACCAGTTACAGGGGAGGAAGAGAGAAAAAAGGGGATGAAGAAAACCCAACAGCAAGTACGGGCTTTCTGCTCTTGAGAACTGAGCAGAGGGAGATTTCATTCCGCCACATTAACACCCCTCCCAGACGCCCAACCTCTGCCATCAGCCGCAAACCTGGAAACGAACCCTGCCCTCCGCCCCCTGAGCGATCGCAGCACAGGGGATCCCCCAAGCCACCCCAGTGCTGGGGGCGCGGGGCAGCCCGAGGGGCCCGGCACTGCCTCCTGGGGTGCTCTGGGCCAGGCGCGCCCCGGCGCGGCCCCCCCGCAGCAGTGTCAGCCCGGCCCGGCCGCCGCAGCTGCGGGGTGTCAGTGGGCGCCAGAGCAGCCGCTCTCCGCAGCTGCATCCCGTCCGAGGAAGCATCACCTCCCGCCCTGGCGCAGGCGGTAGATGCTCCGGCTCCGTTCTCCCTCTACCGCGGCCGGCAGGGAGGACCCACACCGGCCCCACCGGGGCCCCCTCCTCCCTGAGCGGCAGCGGTGTACCTTGACGCTGGCGTTGCTGGTCTGGGTCTCCGCCTCGACGCCGCAGCAGGGGGTGGCCCTGGCCCGGGCGGAGGCTCCGGGCTCCCTGCGCTCTTTGCGGCGGGGGCCGGCGGAGGGTGGCGGCTGCTGCCGGCTCTGGTAGGCGAGGACGGAGGGGATGGAGTCGGCCGCGTCTGTCTTGATGAAGAGGCCGTGCAGGGTGGTGGCGCCCTGCGAGATGGTGGTGGTCTGGTGGGAGGAATTGGACTCGTCCGAGTCGCGGCAGTAAATCACGCCGCTCTGAGAGACGTGGATGCTGGGGGCGCAGCCCATCCCTTCCCTTCCCCTCCCCGCCCCGCCGTACTGCCAGCAGACCGGCCAGCTCCGCTCCCACCTGCCGAGCGAGCGGGCTGCGGGGCCGCCGCCCCTGCGCCGCGCACCCCGCGGCGGCACCGGCACCACCCCTCACCGCTGGCGCTGCCCCTGCCCCGGCCGCTCCCGCCCCTCTGGCGCCTCCCCGGCACCCCCGCCCGTCCCCCCGCGCCGCCCACAGGGACCCCAGACCCTTCCCTTCTCGGCAGTGTCTTACGAAGCGCCTGCGAGCACAGGGTCGTTGAGCCGTGCGGGCAGGGGCGAAGGAGGAGAAGCGTCACCAGCGGTGCAGCCCCCTCCCGACCCTGGCAGAGGGTCTGCTTGCAAGCGTTCCGTACGCACAGCACCACACCATCCGCCCCCCCGCCTCCCCATTGTGACAAATACGTTTTCCTTTCTTTTCCTAAAAGCAGTTAAAAATACTTATTTTGTCGGTCAAAATGCACCTACTTTTCTTAGTGAGCAAATCGCAATTGTCTGGGGACAGTTCAGAGCCACAGAGCACCCACTGCAAGCCAGGAAAAAGGCCAGGATTGTTCCACGATTTTTAATGCTGTTTTTCAATCGGGCCAAAATTCAAAGGCACGAGCTGCTCTTTTAACCTGTATGTCTGATAGCTGCCAATCCCTGTTTCCACTCCCTGGGGAGACAATCAAGCAAAATGTTTAATGCTGCAGAGATTTACACACCTTCTTAGCTTTCCACAGTGAATAGTTTCATTGACCTAAGCGACACTACCTATGAGGTGTAAAGCTAAACATGTGGGGTTTAAGTCTTTGCAAGATTCTAGTTTAAATCTCCCTGTTTTCAATGGCACATTGTAGATTTTTCAAGTACTGGTCTTGTCATCCAAGCAGCATGCTGCCTGCCTAATAAAGCATTTATCTGACACCCAGTTACCAATGAACACTTGTGAATACACCTTTTCTTCTGCTTGGAGCACTACCTGATGTTTGATCACTGTTTCACCACCTAGTTTTTAGGAAGCGATGTTAAAATACTACCAATGTGAAGCACAGTTAGTGCAAGGATTGTGATGCTGAATGACAAAGTTCTTTGAAAGTGTTATTTTGGTTCCTAAGGCTCCTGGATTGCTTTCATGCATTAGCAACTGGTTTATTCAGAAGTGGAGGCTTCACAGATAAAACACCTCAGTTTAGAGGACTGTTTGAGCCTTTAGCCTCTGCCCATCCAGACCATGGCTTATTCTAATTATGGCAATATGGACACTCACTCATACATCAACAGCTGGACTGACATCAATCTATTTGACAAACTATGGTTTTCCAGTTACCAGAGAAAACCTCCCTAGTTTTCCTTTTAATTGTTGATATTCACAACCCAAGTCATGACTCAATCCTAACATACTGCTCTGCTGGTGGCTGTCTTTGAGGACTACCTTGGAGACGGGCTTAATACCAATGAAATGAGACAGACTGCACTTCATCTCCCAACCATGCAGCCCTTCTTGCTGCTCAGGCTGCAGTTCTGGACCTCCCAGTCTCCCAGAGCATAATACATGAAGTTGCATATTAATGTACCCTAAAACTGCATTTAATAACAAAAAAGCAAGAAATAGTATGTATTCCTTGCTGTATTTTCAAGTCCCTTTTCATTTCTATTAACAGTTTGAAAACTGAAGTTGGGGATTTGAGTTACCTGCCCTAGACCACACCTTAGATGTGCAGCAGAGCCAGGAGTTCAGGAATGCCACCCAGGACATGCACATTGGTGTAAACAACATTGCCCCAAAAGACCTCTGGGGGTTGTTGACTATCTAGTTTGAGACTTTGCTCATAGGAATTTACGCACCCCAGGTATCAACAGCACCCAGCATTTTAATAAAGGGAGGAGTATTTTGACTTTGTAGACTGAGCTTGGTGAACATGTCATGTCACATCCTAAACTGTGTTACTAGCTATTCAAGGTCCATTTTTCTGAGTAGATATCAAGGATAAGTTATTTCACTCATCAATATCTAAGTTTCCTTAAAGTCCCAGCACTCAGGTTTCTTTTTTCAGGTTTTTTGTCCTACTGAATACTTTGACAACATTGCTACATTATCAAGACAGTGTGGTAGGCACCTGCCCATCCTTACATGGATTTCCCTTGCTTAGGTTGAGTTGATGTCAGAGAACAAGTCGTAGGAACAAAAAGCCACAGCTCTGGAGAATGTCTGCTAAACGCAGCTCTTGGCTGTTTCTGGGTAATGGGGAAGGATCACCACTGAAGAGGATAATCCTACCTGTGCACAGTGCCAGAGTGTTTGAGAGGAGTGAAAGCTGCAGGATGGGAAACTATGTGGACTGCTGAAAAGCAACAGAGAAGTGGGGAGAATAACTTAATGCTTTGTCTGACAGCAGAATCACAGAACTGTAGGATGGTTGAAGCCGGAACAGTCATCTGGTCCAACCCCCTTGTTGCTTAGGAAGGGCCTATCTGGGTGGTTTTTTAGTATGCCCAAGGATGGAGACTCCATCACCCCTTTGGGCACTCTTTTCCAGTGCTCAGTCACCCTCACAGTTCTCTCCTGATGTTCAGAGGGAACTTCCCATGTTTCAGTTTGTGCCCACTGCCTCTGGTCCTGTCACTGGGAACCTGCACTGTTTTCTTTGCACGATCCCTTCAGGCATTTACATCCATCAATGAGATGCCCCCGCGACTTCTCTTTCCCAGACTGAGCAGTCCCAACTGCCTCAGCTTCTCCTCATGTACGTGGTGCTCAGAAGGAACTTAGAGAGATGGAACAAGCAAGTGGCGATAGCACGAGTGGAGACTGGAATGGGGCAGAGTGAGCGGGTGCAAAGGAGAGGGATGTCTGTCTGCTGCTGGAGTAGGAAGTAAAGAAATGGAAAATTAAAGATTCGTTTTCCTAACATTGGTATTTGTCTTGCACCTTGCCTGTGAGAGGACAATCATGGATTTACTGGACAGGGAGGGAAAAGGGAATATTTAAAACACATGCATGCATACTAACACCACCTTTTATGGCATGCTTAAGTCACACTCCTGCAGGCATGTTGCTGCCACCTTCCCTGACTGATACCCACTAAAGCAGAAGGCTTTACAGTGAGCAGCACATATTAATTCAAACAGGGACTTCCGTGAGGGACTGTTAATGTACTGAAGCAGACTCTTCCCTCAGAAACACATATTTAGTATGGCCCAAGAATTAAGTCAATCCTCTGGAAGATATTCACATATACCATTTTTTCCACTACTAAAGAACCATCACTGCCTTTAGTTGTGACTGCATAAATCCTAACAATTTATTTAACCAATTTAACCAATTCCTTACATGTGACTAATTTTAGCATGATGAATTGAAGTGCATGAGTGATTCTGGAAGCCGTCAGTGGAATCCTGAAGTGTCTCATCTTTTTTTTCCCCCCCAGTAAAACCAGTGGATATACATTCTTTATGGTGTTTACACCTGCAAATCCCTCCACAATGAAGAAGATATACTCCTCTAAACTTTATATCCCTTCCAAAGCCAGTCATAGGCTTCACTCTGACCTCAATATTAACACTCTATGCTACGAGTCGATTGGTAAGTTTATGTTGGCATTATTTGAAGCAATATCTGTAAATCACAGTTCATTGCAGTAAGAATATACTACTTCAGAGGTCACATTTTACAGAGACTTAAAAATCCGGTACTTGACAACCAGCTACTGAAGACAGTTACCTCTATTCATGGTTCATTTACTGTAAAACCAGTTTAAGAATGTATAAATAAGCCTGTACAAAAAAAAAAAAAAAAAAACCAACAAAACCAAACCAAACCTAGGCTCATAGGAAGCTCAACAGTTTCTGTGTCCTTTTATACTGGTCCAAAAGATTTCTAAACTACACTAAAAATCTAACATGCTGTATTCCCAGATTAGAGCAAAGTAAATAGCTATAAATTACTTAAATTATCCAGACTATATGCTACGTTTTTAACTTAAAATAGATATGAGGAAAATAATCATGGCAGCTAGAATAGAACTCTTCTCTGTATACCTCTATTTTGTTAAAAATAAAAAACCAAAACCACCTCTACAATAATTTGGTAATAGATTATCAAATGTTAACCTTGTGCTTTTACTCATCAATACAAGAAATAGCGGTGCCTGGAAAAGAGACAGATATTAAATACAAGAGGAGAATATTATTTCTTTTGCCTAAGGAAAAGCAGGATGTATTTTTCAGCCCACAAATCCAATGACTATCTCACCCTTACGATCAAGAGTAACTTCACTGAAAACAACCACCTTTCTCCAAATCAACCAAAAAGCAAAATCAAGTCCTTTTTTGTTTTCCTGCCCCAAACTCCTTTCATTTCATAACTTTGAAAAATCAATTACTGCAGCAAAGCTGTGGTTTCATTTACCATGGGTTGGTTAGACTGCATTTGCATGCTATATTCTGTGAGTGCTGTGAATAACAGCCTCCCGATAGCAACACCCTACAACAAAATTCCCCTAGGTAGGTATTGCTCAGACAGAAAGGTTTTGCTGGGATTGCCTCCTAATCACACCATAAACCCAATCTTTGGCCTCCTCTTACAGTCAGATTTTGACTGGCTTGGACAATGCCAGCTATCCCAGTTTTCCCCAGAAGTTTGTGGAATACTTTTCATCCTAGACTGTGTCCCTACCTGTATCAGGTGGTTGGAACTAGATGAACTTTAAGGTCCCTTCCAACCCAAACCATTCTGTGATTTTATGGAAATTTTTCAAGCTCACTCAAAGAAGCAGAGCTGAAAAGGGAACTCAGTCTGGCTACCCTTCCACCAGCAGTCTGTGCCACCGTAAAGGCAGTGAGGCACAGATTCTGTCGAGAGGGCATGGAGGGGCATGCACCTTCCTGCACTCTGCCTCTCCATCCCTTTTTGTGTGAGCAGGGAAGAGCTACCGGTTCTGTCCTCCCCTGTCTGCAGCTGCTTCTTTCTCCCCAGGGGCAGGAGAAGATGCAGTCCTGGGTGTTTGCTCCTCAGTGCTGATAGGTGATGAGCTGCCCCAGGGATGCAGATTCCCTCCTGGGGACAGACACCTGCAGGACTTTTTCCTAAAATGGGCCACTGT